TTTTCAAAGAAAAAATACTCACCACAATTCTGTTCGTGTATAAATTATTCCTTATTCAGTTATCTAAAAAAATGAAAAATCAAACTGTTAGAAATGTTTGATTAAAAGAAATGTATTAAATCCTTCCTTACCAAATTTCCACGCGTCTGAAGACAAACCAAGAAAACCACTGATACCTAAAAAAAGAAAGCTTTATTTTTTGGGGTTTTTTTTGGTTTTTTGCATAGTTATTAAATACCTGTAATTGCTGTTATTAGAAATGTTCAATCCCCCTGGTAAAATCCTACTTTGAGAGCTGTGCAGGCATTAGAAATTAAAAATTAAATGTAAAAGAAAAGGTGTATTTTTTTTTAAAAGAAAGGGATTTTTTTTCGTCATATGGGAAAATTCAGAAACTGAAAAATATTTATTTTTTTTAAAAAAAAAAAGAAAATGTGTCGTATGGGAAAATCCAAAAAACTTTTTTTTTAAAAAAAAACAATGACGATTGCTCAATAAATTTTTTATATTTTATATTACAATTAGTACTAATTGGATTAGTTGCTATAATTTGTTTTTACGCCAATCATTTATGCAGCCTAATTCAAAATTGTATTGGGATTAGAGCTGCTAATCAATGTCAAATGATGCGCCACTCCGAATCCCTATATAAAAATCTGTAGCATAGGGCGCAGACACATGATGATGGATGATCCAATTTAAATCCACCTTTTTATGCAGGGTAGTCAGTCTTAACGTCACGGTCGCACAATGCTTTTTTTTTATAGATAGAGATTTAATTAATAAAGTAATATTTAACAGTTAATGAGATTATGTTATTTCAATCATAAACTATTATATAAATTAATAAATTAATTTTATTACATAAATTGTAATAAATTTGATAAAATTAAATTTTTTTCAATGTAAATAAATAATAAAATCGCAATTTTTCAATGAAAACTACTTTTTTTTAAATTTAAATAAATGTAATAAAATCATCATAATTTTGCAATAAATTGTAATAAAATCGTAATTTTTTCAATAAAATTGCATTTTTTTTAATAAATTTGATAAAAATCAAAATTTTTCATATATTAATAAATAATAAAATCGTAATTTAAAAAGTTTTAAATAAAATGTATCATAATTTTGTAATAAATTGTAATAAAATCGAATTTTTCTAATAATCATAAATCATAATTATAAATAATAATCATAATTTTGCAATAAATAATTGTAATATTGTTACTTTTTTCTTCAAAAATAAAATATATTATAAATATATAAAAGTCATAATTTTTTTTATAAATATAAGTAATTCATTTACTTTTTTTACTTTTATTCATTTTTCATTTTAATAAAAATAAATAACCAGATTCAAAAATAATTTTGAAATATGATGAAACTATTAATAATGGTGTTTTGCAGAAAGGCATGGCTATATCCCGAATTGATAATGAAGATGCATTTCAAATATATAAATTTTACAATTATATGACCTTAATAAATAACACAGACCTTGATTCAGATGATGGATCTGAAGTAACTTCGCCACTTAAGGCAGAAAATGTATACTTAATTACAGGAAAATTTTAAACAACTCAAGATAGTTCAATAAACGTCTCTATTACAACTAATGTACAACTCCTTATCGATAAGGAAGATATTCCTATAATAAAACCAATTGTACATCTTCTTGGAAAGACTTTGGGGGTATGCAGAATTAACAGAAAGTGGATATACTTTACAAATACAAGTAAAGCCATATTTATCTAAGGATCAATTTACTCCATTTACTGTAAATTTAACTCACCCACCAAATGGGTGATTTAAGAACGTGTTAACAAAAGCCAGAAAAAATTCAACAGTTCATACAACAGGAGTATTTTTTTTTGCAAAAGATCAATTATACTGTGAAATTTTGGAATTTCAGTTTGTATAAGCAAAAATAGAATCAGATAACAGTATTGAAGTTCCATGGAAATCAAAATCTGATTCACATAATGAAGGATCTTCAAAATCTGTTATAGAACAAAGAATATCTCTCATACAACAGAATTCAACAACACAACCATCATCATCAATAACACCAACCAAAAATAAACGTAAAACAAATATGACTAAAATAGCAGATATTTCAAGATCTTTGCTATTGCAAAATCAACAAAGTGATGAAATTCATGATAGTGAAATTTCTATTACAAATGAAGAAAATGAAGAAAGAATTAATGAAAATATTGAAGAAAATGAAGAAAGAAATGAAAATATTGAAGAAAATGAAGAGAGAAACGAAAATATTAAAAAAAAAAATAATACCCAAAAATTTCAAATTCAACAAGAGGTAGAAAAAAACAAAAAACTAAATAATATTTATGAACTAACGTAACCCAGTAATAATCTTTTCTTTAATTTTTTTTATTATCCGTTCTTTATATTTTATATGTAATAAGTACTTTATTTATTTTTTAATGAAATAAATGAAATAAAAAAAGTTGCATTTATTTTATTTTTATATCAAAGTATAATTAATTCAATAATTCAAAAAAAAAATTTGAAGTCAACGAAATCAACGTAAAATTTAATTGCTGATCGTATTACGCATGTCATAGATCACCTGACAAATACGAACTGTTTTTAAAATTCATTTTTATTATCTCGTATTTTTTATATCTTATATGTAATAAACATTATATTTATTTATTTTTTATTATATTAAAAAAAAGTAATTATTTTTTTTTAAAAAAAAAATTGAAGTTATTGTAAAATTTAATTGTTGATCCTTAATAATAATATATGTTATATATCACTGATCATAAATATACGAACTATTAATGATTTCGTAATAGTTTGATTACTAAATAAATTTATTACTAACATTAAATCATAATTAATAATAAAACTGAATCAGATTAAACCAGATTAGTTACAATCTAATTATATATATATATACAGTGGTCAAAAAAAGTCCTCAGAATTACAAAAAATGCAAAAATTAAGCAACCAGTGATCAGAATTGCTTCAAATTTTGCAGATTTATTACCAAATGTGTGAATATTATGCATACAAAATTTCAGCCATTTATCTTATTTCCTTGTCTCACAATCGGTTTTTTAATTTCAAAAAAAAATCATTAAAAATTTAAGCAATACGATAACTTGAAATGATTAACATTTTGCGTTCAGTTACTAAAAATCAGCTTGTATACTTATAATAAAAAATTATAAACGTAAAAAAATATATTTCTAATTAGTTTATTAAAAAAATTTGATTATAGTTTAATCAGTCAGTTTTCTGTAAAGTGAGATTAAAAATTGGCTCAAAAGCATTAAAGTCATTAAAATTAAAATAGTAAAATAGTACATTAAAATTATTTGTATTGATAATTTTTTTCTATATTTGAATAATATTAATCTATTATTAAATAGTTTTTACAATAATTTATTTATAATTATTATAGTTTAACTTTGGTTATGAATTTTAGTTCTTTCAATTGATTTTAAGGGTTGAAAACAGTTGCGATCAATTGTGGTAGATAAACTTTGATTCCAATTTTCTTAACAACTAACAAATAATAAAGGGCCAAATTTTTTTTGTTAAAATTATCATACCATAAACTATGATTTATAACTGTTCAATTTTTAATAAACTTCAATTTGAATATTATATCAGAATTTCAGATTTTTTGTAGGTTAAATTTTTGATAACTTACTTTTTTGAACTTAAAAAAATGATTGCGAGACAAAGAAACAAGATAAACAGCTGAAATTTTGTATGCATAATATTCACACATTTGGTAATAAATCTGCAAAATTTGAAGCAATTCTGATCACTGGTTGCTCATTTTTTGCATTTTTTTGTAATTCTAAGGACTTTTTTCGACTACTGTATATATATTAAACAAATTAATTTTTGTTCGTATTAATATAACTAAATACTGACACTGATAAACTTTTCAACCAAACTTAAAAATATTTTTTTAATATATTTTAAACTGATACATAAACTTTTCATTCAAACTTAGGAATTTTTTTAATACATTTAAAGATGTCTCACAACAAATTTAGAATCTATAGGTTTCAACCTTATGAACCACAAGAATCTTCAGCTACTACACATATTCAAATAACTAATTCTCAATATACAAATAATTCTCACTCAATTTTAAATACAACCTCAGCATCATATTCACATTTATCACAAACTAATACTCAAAACTTAACTACTCTTACATTCTCTCCTTGGAGACCTTCTCAACGCTTGCGTAGCCTTCACACCCATTTTTAAAATTCAATTCTTTGCCAATATATATGTTTACCTTGTGCATTTTGTGGAAAATTGTTATATCCTGCCAAAGCAAAATGGATTCCATATGTTGAAAATTATGCATATCCACTTGAAATAAACTTTCAAAACATTAATATTTATATAAGAGGTGAAGGTTCAACACGTACTGTATGTGTATGTGATAGTTGCAAAAATAATAGAAAACGATATCCATGTTCACAACTTTATCCTATACCCGATGTAATTGAAGCAATACCAATTGCACAAAGGAGATTCTTGTCACCAATATTTTTACATTGCTCTTTGGGTAGAAATTTGGATGCAAATAGTTATACTGAATATCGTGCTTTAACAGGAGATATGGAATTCTCAAAAAATATGTGTGCATTAAAGTTATATTCTGGTATATTAGGAGCATTTTTGACTAATCCTGGCAATCACAATCATAGTGAAAATTTATCATGGCTTACTCCACAATTGTGTTCTGCTTAAGGTTGCTTGCCGAAACCTAGAGGTTTAGGCAAGATAGCGTTTTGCCAAAAAGTGAAATTCTGCCGAAACTATATTAAAGTTATATTAAAAAACTGGCGAAACTTTGGAGAAAGGCGAAACTGCCGAAACTTATTATAAATGCCAAAACTGCCAAAACTCTGCCAAAACTATAATAAATCTATAGTAAAATTTTGACAAAACTAATCGTAGGATTTTGAAGAGGTTTAGACAAGCAACCTTAGTTCTGCTGCACAATGGCTTAAAGATAATAACAAATATTTAAGACCATATTCTAGGTTATTATCTGCATCATCTCTTATTACAGAAACTTCTTATTTAGATCTATTTCCTACAGCATCTCATATACCCTCTGATACAAATGCTCCACCATTTCAGAAAGGTGATGTTGTTTTATCATCTACAGAGGACCCCGGATATCTCCAAAACAGGTCATAAGTCACACTTTCGGTAAACATGGCATAGCAGCCTTTATCTTTATTAATTATTTATCAAACTTTACAAAATTACATAAAAGAAAAAAGAAAAATAAAATAAAAACTAACTAAAAACAAAGCTATATAGTCTCCTAGAAAGAAATTAAAATTAAAAGAAAATTCAAAAGAAAAATCACTAATACTAACACTTCCTAGATCTCCCCCCTTGATATATTCCAATCAAAGTAGAAGCAACTATGCTAACATAAGGCCACGCAAATTCAATTTTTCGGTTCACGTAACATTGAAATTTAAAATTGACCTGGGGACCCGGAGTTTATTGTTTATTAATAAAAAAAGTTTATATATAAAATCGTGACATTTGATTGGTTGACTTTTAAAGGGGAAAGATTTTATTTTCGCTCCAGAAGTTCTCAGCCACGTGATAAACTTGCCTGCCAATAAAATTACGTATTGATCACGTGATAAACTTTTTATATATAAACTTTTTTTTATTGAAATTTGAAAAAGTGACCCGGCCGGGTGATGTGAACTAAAAAATCGAATTTGTGTGGCCTAATAACGAATGACGCGCCCACTATTAAAATCAACACTCCATCCTGCAAAAGCGGTTATTAAGTAGCACCGTTAGACGACCCATAAAACCCGAAATGTGATCAAACCAAGATAATCCATATTGCATCGAGTTTTTTAACCAATCGGTTCTGGAGTCACATGAATCAACATGGGTCGGAGGAGGTAAAGATGAGTAAGGTATATAAGAAGATTTAGACAAACCTTTAGGCCTTGGAGATTGTTTAAGTGTTGAAGTAATGTTCATCGCATGTTCCCATAATCCTTTATCATACGAACGCGGATTCCAAATTCGTTTACGGAATTTGTTAACAAAATTGTTATGTATAGCAGTAACTACATTCATGGCAGTGAGGCGAGGAATACCTAAGGTATCAAAAACTTCCAGAAAGGTGGTAGGCAAACAGCCACGGACCAGACTATAGGACGACCAGTTACTAGATGAGAAAGACCAACAAGGAAGGGAAGTAATTCTATCCACTAAAGGAAAATAGTCACAATTGGCATTATCACCCGCTTCTTTGATTTTATGGGTAAGGTGGTGAAGATAAGATGTTAAAAGTTGGTGTAATCTAACACAACGCTTGTTGCATAAAAATAAATGCATAAAATCTTCTAAATGGTCTTCACAAGAACGACAAGTTAGAATTTCCACATATAAATCTGGTCGTGTCCTTTTCAGTAATTCCAAAGTGGGTAAGTCTTCCAGAAAAAGTTGAAATTTTAGCGTGTAATGTTTGGAGACATTTTCCTTAGTGAAAGAGTTATCAAATTTAGGTTGAAACATTAATGTGTGCCAAGTAAGAGCCCAGTCAATCATATAACGAGAAGGATCTGTTAAGAGAAAAACAAAACGGAAACGAGAAAGAGCTAAAAGGTCTTTCATATACAACATTTGATGATATTGTTTAAACAGATGTCTTGGATTGGATTCACAGGTTACGTCATCATAGATCATAATATAATCATGAACAGCTGCGAGATCGAGACGGGAGATGAGAACCGCATCGTCAGATGTATGGGCAGTATTGGCAAGAGAATCAGCAAAATCGTTCCAGTAAAAATTAGAGTGAGCTTTAACTTTGAAAGGCAAAACCGAGAGTTGTTTATCCACAATCAGTTGTTGGATGATGGCTCAAAGTTCAAAATTGGTAGTCTTATAATAAAGACGAGAATCTGAATAGTCAGATAAGAAACAATGTTTCAAACCCTCAATGGAAGACTGTGAGTCTATGTAAATATGAATAACAGAGTTGGCAGGAGAGGCTGATAAGGCAGCATAAATAGCAGCAGCTTCGGCACGAGAAGAGGAAGGCCAGTCACGAATGATACCCCGCTTATAAGTGGCAATAGAATTAAGAAAGCCAGAGTCTTTGACAATTTGAACCCAGCCCCATCCCATAGAAACATCACAAGTTCCTAGATTGATAAGAGAGCCATCAGTGTAAAAGGAGTAATGCGAATCTGAAGAGAGTACGACCGATGAAGATGCAGCAACATCACCAGCTGTAAGTAAACGTGAAGTAGATAAAGCATTGTCGGCATTGTTGAAAGAAATATTAGGAATATCAACATCTAAAACTGAACGAGTTGAAGGATTACAGTTTGAGGTGACAAAATCCATAATTTCTGCCCATGACACTGTAGCAGTCAAGCTGGATGTGTGACTCATAATGGATGATTTCTTCATAGGTAAAATCCATGATTGACTAAGAGAGGCCGAATAGGAGCAGGGCACAGAGCTAGTGGCAACAAATTTCTTTGGATACAAAGATTTGTTTATATTCAAATTACAGCCGGGACAAGGTCGTAGAGTGATCAAGTCGCTCGGACAAAAGTCACACTTTCGGCAGATTGGCCCATTTTTCAGGGGCTCAAAAAATCATTTTTTGTAAATATCTCAGCATCCAGTGGTCCAATTTTGATGAACTTTTTTTTAAATTGTAGAGCTAATGAGGGCTACAAAATAAAAAAAAGTTCATTAAAATTGAATTACTGGATGCTGAGATATTTACAAAAAACGATTTTTTGAGTTTCAGCAAAAAGGGGTGTTTTTGGCCAAAAGTCCATTATGACCTTTATATTAGATATCCGGGGTCCTATCTACAGATTTTTCAACAGAAATCCATAATGAAGATTTTTACTACACTCACCTAATGGCTGGATTTATAAAAACACCAAATACAACACTTCCACTTGCATTTGATAATCCAGATCTTGAACCATTAATTTTTCCAGATTTATTTCCTGATGGTCAAGGACACTTTTATAGTCAAAATGCAGATGCTTTAGAGGATAATACAATAAAAACAGAAACATATGGAAAATATATAAAACACTGCCTATTATGTGTTGATCCACGCTTTCATCTGCATCCTTATTGGCCTCACTATTCGTATTTAAGATTAGAAAAGTTACGAAATCATCAGAATACAATGTGACTCTGGCGTCAAAAACAATCAGATACAATATACTGTCCACCAACAGCTTCAGAACTTATTACACGTAGTATATATACAGGAAAATGCATGATTAATGAAAGTAACACTACTACATTACCATCATTTATACGAACAGGAGATACATATATACTTTAATGAAAAACTTTTACATATTAATGCTATGATAAGAGAATTTAGATTACCTCCTCTTTTTATTACATTAACTGCAGCAGAATCAAAATGGATACATTTAAAAGATATATTAAAATCAACAGATAATGGAAATGAAATACCAACAAATAGGCCATTACATACATCTCTTCATTTTACTCATCGCAAAAGAGAGCTTTGGAATCATGTTTGGAGAAAACCTGCAAATAGCAATTGGGAAATCTCATTCATTTTTTTGAATGTATTGAATTTCAAAATAGAGGAGCACCACATACACATACAATACTTTGGATTGAAAAAACAATAGATGAAATGATTAGTGAAAATATAGTTAGATCTACCCTTTCTAATCCAGAACTTGAACCTGAACTTTACCAATTAGTGGTGAATCATCAAATTCATACATGTAATCCTAGAAAATGTGGTGGTCCTGTACCTTCTGGCCAAACATGTAAAAAGAATTTTTCTCGTCCATACTCATTAATTACTTATTATAATGCTGATGAATTTAGATATGTTTACCAGTGTATAACTGAACAAGACAGATGGGTAGTTCCTTATCATGCACCACCACTTTTAATATGGAATGCCCATATGAATGCTCAATATGTAAGTACTAAAGGACTTGGTAATTATCTATCTAAATATATTGTAAAATCAGAACCTTCGCATGTATTTAATATATTAGAAGGAGATAAATATCGTGAACATGTTGTTGCTAGACGTCTTAGTTCAATGGAATGCATGTTTTTATTACTTGGTGAACCAATATGCAATTCATCAGTACAAGTAAAATACTTACCTACTGAACCACCAACTACACATTCACGTGCAATAAGACCATTATCAACAATTTCAGATGATGATGATGATCCATACTGGAAAGATGCAGTTGAAAAATATTTTGCACGTCCATGTGCTCAACAATTTAACAATATAACTTATCCTAATTACTTCAAAAATTACAATTTATTAACAAAAAGACCATCCAATATAATAATAATGAAGTGTATACAGTCAACTCCCTCTATAGTCACTCCCGTTATAGTCACATTCTACTATATAGTCACACCAGTTGAATGTTCAAAACACTTTATTATTAAAATCTATCCTATATAGTCACAATCTATCTATAGTCACTATCACACCTATCCTCAAAAATCTTATATTAAAAAGAACCGTTTATAATCACAGTTATATAAAGAATATATTAAATAACTTGGCATCTAATAATCGTACAAAGATGTACCATAGCTTGTTAGAATCGTCTCACTGAGACGAATCGAATGGTGGTAGTTTTATCCTTTTATGATCACTGGCTGATGAGTTATTCAACAAAATGTTAAGCATCGGCATTATTATAATTCCTTAATTTACGTTTACTGCGCCATTTAACATTTTGCTAAATATCTCGGTACCTAGTGATTGTAAANATTTACGTTTACTGCGCCATTTAACATTTTGCTAAATATCTCGGTACCTAGTGATTGTAAAAAGACGATTAATAGCTCGTTGGAATCGCCTCATCAAGACGAATCGAATAGTGGTAAGCTTATCTCTCTATGATCAATATTGACGGAGTTACTACTTAAAAACTATTTAATATTTTTTAATTTCGGAAATTGATCTAGTGATTGGATTTCGATGTATTTTATACCATTAGATTCGTCGCATCAAGACGAATCGAATGGTAGTAAGATCGTCTCTCTAGGATCAATGTTGGCAGAGTTATTACACAAAAACCATTAATATTTTTTTAATTTCGGAAATTAATCTAGTGATTGGATTTCGATGTATTTTATACCATTAGAACCGT